GCAAAACCCTGCTATACAATCCTACATTGTTGCTCGCCGCTGATGGTGATGTTTTGTCTGTAGAGTTATCAAATCAAAGACATTTATTGGAAGAGTCAACATGACCTTGTGACCTGGCATGAAAGGTGGAGGGTAATRTACATCTCGTTAAGGAATTCTTTTCCTATGTGTGCTGTTGTCACTCTGTCCTGCACACATTGTCCCATTTGGATTGGAAAAGTGGAGCGTCAAAGAGGTAAAATTTTCCAGAGTTTGCCGTCCGCCGCTCCTGGCAGAGAAGGTGTAAGAGCTAAWATCAGGGCACCCGTTTGGGCTGAGGCCAGTCTGAGTGCTTTGGAAAGCAGGGAAACTCCTCCAGGCACTAAAGCGCCAGAAACCAGGGTTTTCAGAGGCTCTGAGGCAGCGGGGCTAAAAAGTACACGGAGTTGTCTGGGTGATGGATACATCGTGGCTGWTGAAAACACTGTGCAGACACAAACACATTCCCAAGGATTTAAATAACCGAAAGGTGTGCACCATGAATTTTATCAAGCCTCTTTTGAGAAATTTCTCTCTCGCTTTGAGAAAGTTTAAGCAAAGCGAGAGTAAGATTGTTTTAGCAAGAGGGTGTGACCGTGTCTGTTAAATTATTTGCTGTTATGTAAGAGTCACTCTTTGCTCCAGAAAGTCTRAAAGGCTCACGGACATCCTTCAGGCAGCAGAGCGTGATAAATCACCGCGAGCCTGGGGTCATTCGGGTTTGTGCTGGATTGATCCCGGCTCAACAAATCCACATGGAAATCACTGACCTTTCTTTTTGCAAAATGAAAAGCTCTCATCRCTGCCAGGGAAAGTGTAGACACAGGACCCCTGGGTCAATAAAGCAATCATTTCACCGATTTATGAATGGCTTGAATAGAGTGAATTAGCAAAATAAAAGCGTTTTATGAAAGTTTATTAGAAAAACACTTGTTAAATGATTTCTTAACACGTATTTTCTGCAACCTCTTCAGAAACTCAGAAGTCTTCAGACTGTTTAGTTTCCAGGTTGGCAATTAAATCTGTAGGAATGATCCTTTTGGATCTTAGGATGGGAGCGAATACATTTTTCTGTCAAAAATTGGCTCTCTTTTCTCCCGCTGTGCTGAGAGTCAGCACTTAGCAGATCCTTTTTGGCTGCCGGTTCAGGATGTCAGAAGAGAAGAGACCAAAGAAGAAGAAGAAGAAAAAAAAAGGAAACTGGACCATACCCAACAACTGGCGTACAGGCTTTCATGTGCTGCGGTCTTGACCCCTTCCTGACAATGTTATTCTCRTAACAGAAGGATCCCACTTAAACGGAAACATCCATCTGTCCAGGTGGTCTCAAGAACAACTTCACAATCACCAGCCTACAGTTCAAAAAAAGTTTGTTGGTGACTTAGTTTTTTTAATGTCACCGAATCTTACCTGCTTTAGATGACTCCTTTCATGACCTCACTTAAGAAAAACAGTTTAGTTTTGATTGAGCATTATGGCCGAGCGTGGTCAAACTCTACATCTTCACAGTGGTTCAAGCAAATGCTTGCTTTTAAAGGGATCCCTGATTAGTTGTAACATTAGACTTTATTTTATAAACGTTTATTTTAACTGTAAAATAAAGTCTG